CAGCAAAATCTCCCTTCAAATTATCCAACCTATCATAGAAAAGGATAATGATACCTAATTCCGAGGTTAAAATAATTCCGGTCGTTCCGGCGCCCGTTGGAAGAGTTCAATGACGTCGTCGAGAACTCGAGTACACACAGTTCGCGAATACACGTGTATACACCGTGGTTAAAGCGTAACGCTGAGAGGATAGTCGTGGGATAGATGTCTATCGTGGGGTGCAGGTCGTCTGACACGACGCAATTGACGAAAGTTGCGGTCGTATGTTCGCGCGGTCGTAAGTAATGGTACCGACTAATTGCCAAGGTAGCGGAGCCTCTTCTCTTCATCAGGCGACAAGTGCTCGGGGTTCAATGACGTCGCTCAGGCAGGGAACTCGAGAGCACCCGGTATGCATGCACATCGCGGCGAATGCGGGGAACGTGTGTGTTACGAGCCTCGAAAGCCCGACGCGTTTCATCGATATCGTTCGCGTAGGCTTACCTAGGACGGGCATCGAATCGATCTTACGCCGTCAGCGGTATCGCCAAGTTAACCCGGACTGCGAACCACGAAGAGACGCGGGCACACGCGAATGGAATATCAATCGCGGAGATCAAATGCTTTTAAGGAACACCGTCGACTTCTTCTTCGATCGCTACCGTGTACATCCAACGATCGTCGTCGATCTGTTGCATCTTGCGGTGCGTCGAGTGAAAATCGATGGTACGCAAGACGTGCACAGTATTCTTTACCTTTTATCTTAAACGCATACATACGATCGATATGAATGTCTTATTATTTCTAGTTGCAAGACATGAGAGGAGAGATAGTTACCTTTTATAATATATAAAAGTAAAAGAATTAGATACATCTGATATATTAAATATATGATAAAATTGATAAAATAAAAATAAAAATTAAATACAAAATTGTGAGAGATTTCGAGAAAAAAAAATCAATACTAAATATCTTATTTTTATATTAATATTACGCTATGTATGCTTACTTCTTTTATTTTTAACTTATAAATGATCGAAGAATACAATAAATCGTACTTATTTCGGAACGAGATAATTATTGTTTTTATAAATTTTATGAATTTCTTTTTTTTCATATTAGAAGGAATAATTCATGATTCTGATGAAAAAAAGAAGAGAGAGACTTAATCATGTAGTATGATTATTTGCAATTGTATTGGAAAAGTTGTCGTGAAATTATGCGCACTTCTCGGAAATGCGATCGAATCAAAGTCAGGTACGTGAACAGTTCGTGAATTTACGGCGATGGGCGCGAGTAAAGGTTCGGCGCACGACCTAATATAAAATATGCAATATCCTCCTTCCGGACAGCCGTGCACGCTGACGAAGTCGGTGGAGCAATGTATACACCGGACGCTCTTTCTGCGATCCGGTATAAGTAAATTGCACCTGTGCGAAAGAAAGATCAGAGGCGTTCGGCACACGAACGTATCTCGTCACGTGACCGCCGCCGGGGGCAAACGTGTCCTCGTACTTGTTTCTCATTATTGTGCGCGACGTAGAGTATAATTTCGCTTTGGGTCAACTGACCGTTGGAAACGCGGGTAAACCAACCCAAGGGAATAAATGCTCCTTCGCACGACGATATCTCTCTCATTTTATCGTTAATCTTTCGAAGTAGAATGCATTTTCGTTTTATTTTTATTTGATGAAAGTACAATTTAACTGCGAACAATCTTAAAAAGTTATAACTTATTTTTTTCTTATCTTGATGATCCACCTTTAGATATTCTACTATAAATTGCATTCATTTACATACATACAAAAACACACACACACACACACACATCTATGGGTTTCATAAATGTTTCATTTTCGTAAACATCAGTTATTATAAAATTAATTTGTATTTCAACTTTTCTTTATGACAATGGTCAAGCGTGAATCGATACATATTTTATGATGTTTTGATAAACGATATAACGAGGAACAATTCTTTCTTCAAGCGGCCGCTAAACGGTGTCAATTTAATGAAATCAACTGGGGTGTCGGAACAGAAGGAAAGAAATAACCAGCTAATTAGGTGATGTTTGGTCTTCGAGAGCTGAGACAAACTTAGGCGTGCGCTAGGGCGGATGTCTTGACAACGAAGGCGATGGAGTGGCGGAGTTTCGCGATGAACTCAAGAGAGAATCGGGAAGGTGGAACGGGGGAAGGAGGTGAAGGTGGCCGGCAAGCGACGGAGGGTGGGTTAAGAGGGGCGATGGCGCAAGGATGGAGACCGCCGAGACGGAAGGAGGTGAGAGAGTGCGAGAGGAGGTGGGCCGAGAGAGGAGGACAGGGCGAGTGGAAAGGACGAGGTGTCCGCGGGGGCGGATGAAAGGACGCTTACCAGCTACTACCTATTGATCGCCAATTCTTTTTCTCTTGTTGCATATTAGGCGCACTCTTCCTTCTTTCTCCTTCTCTGTCTATCTCTTTTTCTCGCTCCCGCCTGCTTTCTCTCTCCCTTCGCCTGGTTCGTTCGTTCTCCCCCGTCGCGTCTCGCAGCCAACCTGCCCCCTCGCGGACGTAGAACGCGCGAATCCGCCCCTATAGCCACCCTTCCGCGTCCTCCCCTTCCTCATCCCCTTTCTCCTCCTCCTTCTCCTGCACCTCCTCCACGTCCTCTGTGCTCGTGTCGCCTCACCACGCGAGAGAGTGCAAGCCACCCCTACCACCCACCTACTACCTACACCGCCGACTCTAGCTGTACCCTTCCTGTTTCGGGAGGGGGCCGGCGGCCGCCCACTCCGCTTTTTGCACGCAGGTGCGACGGAATCGCGGTGTGGGAGGACCTCGTCGCCGCGACGCGATGTAGTCGTAGATAGGATAGACACGTCGAAGGTATCGATGCGCGACTAAATAGGACATAAAGAAGTCCGATTTCTTAAATCTTCTAAAAGTGCAATCACATATGACTAATCCCTTTTCCAAGTGTATTATCTTAGGAAGGAACGAGACGAAAAAAAAAGAGATCATTTCTTTAAGACGCGAGTATCTGCAGACGTTCTGATCGAGCACGATCTTATTCCTGTTTCAGATAGCAACCGGCGATCTGCGAACATCTTGGAGAGAGAGAACAACGCACGCACGGATCCAATCGCCGTAAGAGAATTCGGCGGAAGAAAAGGGAGAAGACCTTCGTGCGAGAGGTGCGGGCACCCAGAAGCCGAAAGAAGGAGGGAGGGAGGGCGGTAGGGTGGCAGAGAGATAGAGAGATAAAAAGAAAGGGAGAGAAGGAGAGGGTGAGTCAGGACGCGCCGCCGGCGACAGACTGCACTCTCGTGGCGTTCAGGGCGCAAGCGTGCACGTGTGTTGTGCGTTTCTGTGCCCTAACCCTGTCCCGCTACCTGGGAGGAGTAGCGTGGTCGTCATCCCTCCGCGGCTACATCCCAACCGTGCCGCCGTTGCCGCCGTTGCCGCCACCGCCACCGCCACCGCCAACGACACCGACGCCGACGCCGCCGTCGGCTCGCCATCCCTCCGACGCGCGTGGAGGAGCGCCACGCCGACGAAACGACGGCGACGACGACGACGACGACGACAACGACGACGACAGAATCCCCACTGCCGTTACCACTACAACCGCTGCTACCACCACATCGGCGGTCCACAACGACGGTAACTTTGGTCGCTCCTGCCGACGCGCTACATCACGCGTGACGTTGCATCCAGCAGCGCGCACGTTAGCGCGCGGCGACGTATACACGCGCGCTTCCCTTTTCCCTCACGCACGCACGTTTCACGCTCACGCGGCGCGCGTTGAAAGACATAGGGACGTTGGCGGAAGAGGAGCGGATTGAAGGAGAGGGGTTTACCAAGGAGGGAGCAACGAGGGGTAGAAGGAGGAAATCGGAAAGAGACACGGAAGGGAAACTAGAGTCATAGGGGTGGTGAAGGGGTAGAAGGGTGAGCAAGAAAGAGGAAGAGGAGGAGGAGGAGGAGGAGGAGGTACGGGAGGACGACGACGAGGGCGACAACGGCGACGACGACGAGGAGAACGGAGGAGCGCCGGCGGTGGAGGGGGTGGACATCCACGCGGGAACACGAGGCAGGCGCACCCGGCCGGCACGCGCACACACATCCTAAGATGTGATTTCAAAAATGGCGGATTGCCCCTATGCCCGCTGCATACAGGAACGCAGACACATCCGACGGGAGCTGCTGCGATGGACAAAGAATATGGTCTTCGTAGTCGGTGAGTAAAGAATCGAATCGTTCCGTCCGGTGACAAATTGCATTTCTACGTACGTAAGTGTGATACATATTTTATATATCGGCATGCGTGTGTGTGTGTGTGTGTGTGTGTGTGTGTGTGTGTGTGTGTGCGATGCGTGAAAAAGATATTTTCGCGCGTGGTACACGCGCGCACTAGGGTGTACGACCAACAACTGCTCGCGCGCGCGCGCGCGCGCGTTCATCTTGCGTACAAGAGGCGTGTCATCAGTGTGCTTGTTGCATGGGTGCGCGTGTACGTGTATATGTGCCAAGGATGTTCCACATGTATATATATATGTATGTGTGTGTGTGTGTGTGTGTGTGTGTGTGTGTGTGTGTGTGTGTATGTCGAAGCGTGTACTTGGGCGCGTGTGCGTGTACATTGTATACGCATACGATTGCCTACGTTCCGCGTGGCATGTTTCTGTGTGCGTCATGGACGTATAGTGTAGAAACAGAATTTCTATCAGTGTGAGAACGTGAAGAACGAGTGAGATAGGTCAAGAGTGGAAGAGAGATGCGATGAGAAAGAGAGAATGGGGAGGAAAAGAGAGAGGAAGAGAGAAAGAGAGAGAGAGAGGGAGGGAGGGAGGGAGAGAGAGAGATTTTGTGTGTGTGTGTGTGTGTATGTGTGTGTGTTTGTGTGTGTGTGTGAGAGAGAGAGAGAGAGAGAGAGAGAAAGGGGGGGGGAGGGGGAGAGAGAAAACGCGGTGGGGGGACGCCGAATCCTGGCTGACTATGTGCCAGGCGTGACTCCTACTCGCGCCTGTACGTTCAACAGGGTGGTACCACGCTGCCGGAAAATCCGATAATATTCTGTGAGTAGTTTCCCGTGCGGTTTGAAGTTTTCGTGAGTGCATCTGTTGAGAAAACGTCTTCCTCTTGATTATCTATTTATATTGTAGAAGAGATAATTGCGGTTTCTTTTACCGAAAATCACATCTCCAATATAACAATCGTACAATTAACTAACTGCAATTAAATAACTGCGATTTCAAAATCGTTTGAATATTTTTGTCATGTTTCATTAATCGAATTATCACGGATATAATCTTCTTATATTAAGTTAACATTATACTATATACATTGTGTAATACAATTTAGTATTACTCGATAGCTAGTAACTTCCTATAATCGTTTTTCGCAGATAGATTCTTGCGAATATATAATTATTCTCTTTTCTGAGACTGATAATCGATAATCGGTCTATATGAAAAAACCACACGTTCGGACGGCAATCGATATATCTATGACTGTCTGATTTTCATCAATATCGAGAAGGAACTTGGCAATGGAAAAACAATAGGCCAGATGTTTAGCGTCAAAGACCGCGAATTTATTAATTAAAAAAAAAACATAAATCGTATTCGAGTGAGAAGTAGATGATCCATCGAAATTTGAAATTGGAAAAGGAGATTGGCGCCGGCGTCTCCGTTATCGGCACGAGAAGCTACGAGAAGAATTAGGCGCCGCGCGTGCAATTTCCCGTACAGGGAAGGGTGGCGAAATCAGGCTCGCGAGACAGGCTCTACGACCTCCTCCTCCTCCTCCTCTTCCTCCTCCTCCTCCTCCTCTTCCTTCTCAGTTCACCCTTCCACATCGGCGACGTTTACCCCTCGTTCGGCGTCGCCGAGGGGGTAGCAGGCGGGCATCGTCAGACGCGCAGAGAATACTGCACAAGCTGCGTGCCTTGACCACAGACAACCGAGCGATCCCGGCCGCCGCCCGAAACCTTCTTTTCTTCTTCTTACGACTATCCGTCCTCCTTTCCCACCTGCCTCCTTTTTCACCCTCTCCCTCCGTCGCCGTCGCCGTCGCCGTCACCGTCTCCCACCAGCCTTCTTCCATCCCGACTTCCCCTTCTTTGCCTTTCGGTTAGTCCGTCAAGGGGCGAGCTCCGGTACTCGCGGAAGGCACGTTTCCGCACGCGTCGGTGTTGCGTGCACTCGCCGTTACGCTTCTTCCTCCACTTTTGTGACCTCTCCCGCTTCGCACCCTCCGTCTCTTTGGCCCCGATTCCCCTCTCTGTCCGCTCTCTGCGCGCCCCCCGTGGTTCTCTCCCTTCCTCCTCCACCGTCATCGTCCGCCGCCACCTCTCGTTCGCGTCGCTCCTCATTTCGGAACGCAGCTGCCGCTGGTGGTCGAGAAATTTTCGCGAATCCTTCCTCGAGACACCCTCCCGCCCTTCCGCTCTCGCTATCCTCCTCGTCCTACCTTCGACCTACCTATTACTCCTTCCTTATTTCTCTCGTATTTCATTTTCATCTTCCGTAGCGAAGAGATCCTAAAAAGAGAGGCCGTCGAGAGTGGAAATTCGACGGAAAGTGGAGGAGGCGAGCGGGGTGCGGGTGAGGGTGCAGAGGCGACACGAGTTGCACGTATGCGTCGCGTTCCTCTGCCTCTCCTTTCGAGACTTCCACGATCTTGGAGGATCGACCAGTGCGCGTTCGGAAAAAGGTGACGGACGGAGGGTGATACCGGCTTTGAAAATCTCGGTAGTGTTCCGAATGGTACGCGCGAGTGTACGCATTGTATTATCAGTTAACGGCGACTATTGTGACGGCACGTTGTCGCGACGCGTCACAACGGAGGATGAGATGAAAGTGTTCGGAAAGGAAGACGAGTGAATGGTCATCGAAGTAGATAAGCGGCGCCAATATAAGGCACTATGTGGTCAAGTCACGGGTGTCGGCAAAAGGTGTCGGTTCAGTGAGTGAATTCTAAAGGCGGTGTCTTCAGAAAAGAGATCGTCATCCTTTTACGCAATTTACACGGACAGCTTTCAAAGTTTAGGAAACTGTTGCTCCGCCGAGGCGGCAGGACTCCTCGCCCTTCGAAGGAGTTAGTTACACCTGTTACGCGCACGTCGCTCACCGGTCGGTGATCGGTCTCGGTGCTCCGAAGTTTCGATATCGCGAGTGCCTAAGCGAAGCACGGTGAGAGACGCGCGGTAATCGTCACGCACAGCATAATCCTCGTCGTCGGTTTGTACGCACGTAATCGCGCGATACCCATCGCCGGCTGTCGGCGAGAGGACATGGAATTGGACGTAATGAAGCCTCTTCCCCCGCACCGTCCCGCCTTTCGTGGTACCAAAGAGCCGAGGGCCAACGGGGAGTCGCGATCTCGCGAGGGCACCGTGCGCCGCGATTGTCGGCAGTAACGATGTCTGGATTGCGTTACTGCGCCGTCACGACGTGGATGCCGTATGACTGCACGACAGAGGCGGATTCGGCAGACGTGAAAACGCGGAAGTGGATCGACGTAGTATAGGTAAAGGGATCTCCGTTGTGGAACGCAGAGGTAACGCGAGGCATCACGGCGTGATGCGTGTGCACGTGCGCGATTAGACGCGACAGAGACCACTGCTTAGAGGAACGAGTCGCGGCTCTTACGATTTTGAATCTTTACCAGCGATAGCAGTTGAAATTAATCGCTCTCTATTTATAAAGAGTGTCGTGGACCGATATTCATAGTCGGTTTTTATTTTAAGAACGTCTTAAGCAATTTAAGTTTAAGATGCTAATATGGCTCTCTGATTGATTTATGATATTTTTGAGACTGTACTTAAGATAGTCTTGAATATAAGAAGATCGAATTACTATGAATACCGGCCATAGTTTTGTTTTCTTTGGTTAGACTACGTTAAATTATAGAGACTTGCGTCCTCTTGAAGTTGATCGTGTTATTGTGGCTCCTTTTTCTTCTTTTTTTCTTCTTTCTACAAACGAAGAAAAAGCTAGTATGCCGATCAGCATGATCTGCTTCAGTGAGGACGAGTCTTTATCATTTAATAAAGTCTAATCGAAGAAAGCGGAGCTATACCGTTTTTTTTTTCTAAATAGAGAGCGATAATTTCAGCTCCCATCACTAGCAAAGATTCAAGTTTGTAAGACTTTATTACCGTAACGTCTTTAGTCCTCAAAGAGGAGAATATAGAGTGTAACTTTAGAGAATGTGGCTAGAAAGAGAATTTCGCGTATCAGTGATTACCACAAGTGAGAAGCTTATGTAGCAGAGTATGTGTAAGAAATAATGATGTACTATATAAAGAGTTCTATCAAGTAACGCTAGGATCAAATGTCACTTTCGAGTCGTCAAAATGATCACGTTAATTTCTTTGATGTGAAGAAAAGTGAAGGCCCATCTATTTAACACTTGCCTTTTATTCATGCAAAGCATGGATTATGCGGGCATGCGCTCCATACATGTATCCGGTAATATTTCATTGTCTAGTAGAAGATTTATAGAGGATATATAATTTTGTAAAAGATGTAATATTAATAGTTCTTTAGAGAGCTGAGAATGTATAAAGACCACTAAAGCGTGACATCCATCTCTAAAACTTGAACCGATCAAACAGATACGATTATACAGGACATCACTTCCGATTAGTCCGATTACTTCGTAATTTGTGTCGGAGAGACATTATAAATGAAAACCGAACACAAACTTGGAAAACAATATATTTTGACGTATGTTTCTAAATATAGAGCGATTATTAATTTCATCCCTTTTCCTATTCAGTCGCCTCTGTTGCTTTTCCGAAAAGGCAAGCAGAGCAAAGTAACGCGATGCAAGGCAAGGCAAGGCAGGCGCGAGCAAAGGGGTGGCGGATGGGCGCAGTTACTGCTGATCGTTAAAAGGCGCATAAAAAAGGGAGAGGAGAAGGCGTTGGGTGCATAGGGGTGGTGGGTGGCGGGAGGTCAGAGGAAGCGGCGCGAGAAGTAACAATAAAAATTCGTCGGCGTTCGTGTTTCGTCGCCGTGGTAGGAGCGGAGAGACGTAAGGAGAGCGAAGTGAGGAGTACGACGGGGGTTAAACCGAGGCAGGAGAGAAAGCGAGAGAGAAAGAGAGAAAGGGAGAGAAGGGTGGTTGGGTAGAGTCGGTGGAGCAGGGTGCGTAATGAAACGATATTGAGTAGCCGTGGTAGGGAGGGTCGCTGCAAGAAAGTGGGGGTCGTCTTCAGCCCTCTCCGTC